TGTGTGTGTGTGTGTGTGTGTGTGTGTGTGTGTGTGTGTGTGTGTGTGTGTGTGTGTGTGTGTGTGTTGGACCTGCGGCTCGGTGTTTTCATTCTTGTTTCTCTTCAGATGAGATCACATGATCGTTGGAGAGTCCGGTCTTCCACAGGCTGTAATCTGCTGCACGGACTCGCTGCTGCGCTGCGCATCCTTCGGGATGTTTACCATGAGAAGGTCGGCGGCTCCAGCCACAATGATTTGACTTTTTTGGGCTCCTGGCGACGCTATAAAAAGTTCTTGGTGATGTAAAGGATGTGTCTGACAGGCTGCAGTCATCCATGATAGATGTGGTGAAAGTGGAGTGGGATCAGTCCAGGTACTGACGTGACATGTGAGCTTTGAGTGTTTCTGACTGTGATTCTGCTGTGCAAAACGAGGATCGTTTAAAAACTCCTTGAGTTTCTCAAACTGAATGAAGTGAGAACACGAGCTGGAGACAGCCATCATGGCTGCTGAGTTTTTGGAAGTAGAAGAAGCGTAGCATACGCACTGAAAGGCGAAGCCTCAACCCTGAAATCATCATAATGACCAGCAGGGGGCGACGTGCTGGATCGTAAGCCCGTGTTACTGCTCTGTGCACACCTTCCTGGTGGGTTTATGTTCTCAAGCTAATTTCATTCTGAATAAAACATGTTTAATTTGGAAATTCAGTCTCATTCGAGCCCAAAAGGAGAATAAAGGCTCACCTGTGAGCATGAAGAGGCCTCTGACCTAGGGCTGGGTATTGTCGCTGATTTCTAGAATGATTCACAAGGTTCCCAATCGATTCGATCCACGATTCGATTCAATTCGCTTTGAATCTGGGAAATTTTGACAGTCAGAAATATTATAATTCAGATCAGTACATTTACATATGTTTGTATCTATAAAAAGGAAGCTGACACTTTCCAGACTTTATCACAGGTGTGAGCGTCACAGCGAGGCCTTTGTGCCAAAGCAGCTGAAGATAAAACAGAAAAACATGAAGGTGATTTTCCTGGCCTGGATTTTATACAAATATTCTGCAGTAGATCAAAAACGAAACAAAACCTTGAATCAACACATGAACGTTACCTCTGAGTTGCAGCGGTTTTATTAGAGACACAACGTTTTGCATTTTCCATCATTTTAAAAAGTTTAAATTTGTTCAGTATTGAACGGCAGAAATTAGGTTTTCTTTTCGGAAGTATGTAAAACGAAAAAAAAGGGGTTTTTCGTAGTTTGGATCTTCTTTTGCTGCTGGTTCGGTCAATAATGTTTGGAGACATCAAACTAACAGCTTTAGAATCAGCGCAAAAATGGCATAAACACAAAGCGCCGACCCGCAACGCATCAGAATCAGCTGTCTTAGCTGTTTGGTGGTTGTTGAAATTTTGAGGTTTCACCTGAGATTCTGGCGTTTCGGGCAAAATAAATTTATATTAAAAAATCGATTCAGGATTTTAATGAATCGATTTCACGTTATCCAAGCCAGAATCGATTTTAATCGATAAATCGATTATAAAAAGCCACCCCTACTCTGACCCCTCACTCGAAGGTAAAGCGTGCTGTGGTGCTGCACAGACGCTGAGAGAGCCGGGGCAGGGACTATGCATGAGGGGCAGGTGAAAGGAGTGCGTTAAAAGTGTCACCGCGCTGATGTCTCATTCATACACATTAGTGTGAACATGATGATGAGTGCCTGAAAGATGTTCTCGCTTTCAGCACCTTCATCATCCCATCAGTGTCACATGTGCACGTGCGGCGCAGAGCCACGTTCTGGGTCGTTCAGTCAGCTCAGGAAATGAATGGAGGGAGCAGGAGGAGGAGCAGGAGGAGGAGTGAAGGTTCCTCCATCAAAGCTGAGGCTTCAGTACATCTGTTCCCACCCACCCCTCAGGTAACCTGAGTGTTACCGGTGTTCAGCATCCAGGATAAAAACATTCCCGACAACATCCCAAGAAGTCTGCCACACCTAAAGCACACCTGTAGATTCATCCACCCAGGCCCCGCTACAAGCGTGACATCACCTGAACCTCCCATGACCTCACAAGGAAAACAAAATAACCTTAATACCTCCACATGTTAAAATCATGTTTATTATTCCTGCAGCTGGAACTCCACACGTGAAGTCATAACTGAGGGATTATCACCATGGCCTCCATCCAGCGCACGGGAGCGCCGTCCTCCACACAGCCGCCAATCACAGACACATGTGGTTCTCCAAACTCCTGCTCAGCAGAGCAGAAAGACGATGAACCAGAGACAGATGGAGCCAGGAGAGGAGGAGGGGGGCAGCGGGGAGACAAGAGGAGGAGGGGGGCAGCAGGGAGAGAAGAGGAGGAGGGCAGCAGGGAGAGAAGAGGAGGAGCAGGGCAGGAGGGGAGGAGGAGCAAGGGGAGGGGGTAGACACATACAGGCGGAGATGAGAGCGGTAAAGACGCCACTCTGGCTGCAGCTCGCGGGCTCCTGGTGTCAGACACGATTGGTCGAGCTGCCTGCCACTCACGTAATCCGGAGCGGGGGCGGGGCTTGGTGCCCCGTGCCTCGCGAGGGCACAGAACGAGCCCAGTTCGGGTCTGCACAGCTGCGCGCGCTGTCCGCGGTGATGGGACCCAGCGGAGCGCGCTCCGTTTCTCCGGCATGTGCGTGAGCTTTCCCCCGCGTGCCGTGTGAGCACAGTTGGAGCGCGAGCGCTGTTCGCGGTGCTGAAAGCATCCAGAGGCGCGAGGACAGCAGCGCGAGGCTCTGACCGGCATGAGGAGGACGCTGTCCGCGGCGGGCTGCCTGCTCGCGTGGCGGGTAGTGCTGCTGCTCAGGTACGACCCCTCTACCCCCCCTTACCTGTGTGAGGCACGCTGAGGACTTCCTGTTGGAGTCACAGGTGCTTCAGGATGGAGCTGAACTTCAAACTGTGTTTGAAATGTTCATGTGAGAGAAACGTGGCTGCTGATGCATTTATTTTAATGTTTTTATTTCATTTCATATTTATTTAGTTTTATTTTTATCGCTGATGTTTTCTGTGTGAAGTCTCCTCGGTATAATTTGCTGGGATCAGGGTTATCAGTGACTGCGTGGGCAGAATGACCCTCGCCTCCGCTCGCGCCCATGTGTCACGTGACAGCTGACTGATTGAGGAGCCTGGAGTGGCTGAGCACGTGTACGTGATGATGCTTGTCCTGAAGCAGCTGTTAGTCCAGTAGTTTACCTGTGCAGGTAAAGTCGTTAATTATTAGTAGTAACCCGATCCTGTTGTGGGTCTGCTGTGGAGGCAGCAGGACGCCTCAGCTCCTCTCTGAGCCCTGATGACGCTCCGAGAGTGAAAACGTGTCGCTTGTATCAGATTTCATTGATGTGGTCAGTCAGCAGAGATGGCCTGTATTTATATAGCGCTTTACTAGTCCCTAAGGACCCCAAAGCGCTTTACATATCCAGTCATCCACCCATTCACACACTGGTGATGGCAGCTACATTGTAGCCACAGCCACCCTGGGGCGCACTGACAGAGGCGAGGCTGCCGGACACTGGCGCCACCGGGCCCTCTGACCACCACCAGTAGGCAACGGGTGAAGTGTCTTGCCCAAGGACACAACGACCGAGACTGTCCAAGCCGGGGCTCGAACCGGCAACCTTCCGATTACAAGGCGAACTCCCAACTCTTGAGCCACGATCGCCCCAGATGGTGGGCGATGGTGAACCCCAAACACTTGAACTCCTCATCTTAGAGCAGCGGTCTCAGACTGGGTGGTGCTGATCCTCATCGCAGCTGCTTCACACGCAGAGCTGCAAACTGTGATCACGCCAACAACTGACTCGCTCCGCCCCTTCACTGCGCCTAAAATTCTGTCCAGAAAATCTCACAGCTGTTTTAATCTGCAAGGGAGCGATGGCAGGCTGCTCAAGGCTGCCGTGGACTTCGTATCTGCGTGTCTGTATCTGTACGGTCTGTACGATGGCCTCTTTACCGTCCTGTGGTGTGAACATGTGTAAACGTGCTCATCGCTGGCTGAGTCCACGATCATGTGACCACATCTCTGAGTCACACATGCAGGGATCAGAGCGTGCACTCGAGGGACAGCCGTGGGACAACTGACTCCTTTTATAGGACGCGGTTTGAGTCTGCTTTACAGCTTGTTCACTTCCTGTTTGGATAATTAGGCACAATGATCAATATCAGCAAACAGTAATGTGACTGATCGTGACCTGGCATAACTCTGAGGCTGCCCCTCAGAGTCTCACCAACTGGGTCAGTCCTTCAGCTCCAGCGTGACTCATTAAACTCTCTCATCATTCAGTCCCAGTTAGTTTCCAGCCAATCCGCTGACAGCACGCGCTCGCAGGCCATCCTCGCTCTGCAGGAAGCGCTGCTGAATGAAACGTCGCTCACACAGACAGCGAGGTCTGTCCGAGGAAACAAAGTCAGAGGAGGTTTGAGAAGCTTGAGCCGTCAGTGCTCTGATGGCTTCCTGACCGCCAGCAGCCTCGATGATTGAGCTCAGGGAACGAGCTCACGTTCAGCTTTCAGCAGTGACAGCAGTGTGGCTGCACACGAGGAGCTCACAGTTTATTTGCCTTTCACTTATTTAAAGAGCGAAGTACTGGTCCTGGATGATGTCCAGGCTTGCTGTAGGCCGGCACGTAACCCTCACATATTTAAGACTGTGAGTCTTCAATGGCGATTCTTCATTTTTATTGATTTCTTGTAAGTTTACAGCGTTAATCCTCCGTCTCTCTCGATGTAAGGAGTCACGCTTTTGTTCAAACCTGCTCAGCCTGAAGATCGACGAGTCTGGAAAACTGGGATCAGTTTCTGAAGTGTCACATGATCTCGGTGCAGACCGGAAAAACCCTCAGAGAGGAAATAAAATATTCACATTCAGTTTGTTCTGCGTGCAATCGAGTAAATGCAAACTGAAGGTTAGAGCCACATTTAAGGTGTCAAGAGTCGCACCAACATGTAAAAACCATTCCACCTTAAAAGTGGGTAAAAGCTGGCACGGTGCCTCCTTTCAGCCTCTTTTCCTTTGGTCGTGTTATTTAAATTACCCTGTTTATACAAACTCAATGTTTCCTGTGGTTGTTTCAGATTAAAAGCTTCTGTGTTTCACATATTTTTCTTAATAAGGCTTTTATTGTGAAACATTTAAAGAGACATGTCAAAAACTCAAAGCAGTTTTAACTTGAAGAAATATCAGAATACCCGGGCTGCTGAGCGGGGCAGTGGTTACAGAAAGAGGAAGAGGAGGATGTCGAAGCTTTAATCTTCAGTCTAAGATTGAATCATGGGGTCGGTTAGCCTGTACTGGACTAATGTGTGCAAACTGGGCCTGAGCTCACACAGCTTTGGGAATGAGCCACGACTCAGCTGTGGCTGACGCTTCGACGCTCTCCGCTCGTTCAGCTCGTTGCTCCTGTAGCAGCAATAAACTAAAGTAACGGTTTCATCCTCCGTTTCTCACGTGGACACAGATTTTCACGCACGCATCTTCACAGCGTTGCTTCAGTTCACTGAGGTTGATGCACGGCTGTCTGAGGGTCACACACTGAGGTCTGGACCGGACCGTCGCAGCAGCTCGGCGGTCCATTACGAACATCTGCAAACGTCAGCCGTGCTGCCGTGTTCTTCCCAGAGAGGAGAGGCTTTCTCCTGCAGCCCTTCCAAACCAGCTTTAGCTTTAACCTTTAGCGTGCTAACGGAGGCCTGTAGAGTCTGAGCTGGAGCTCTCTGGCACGATTGCAGCGTGGTGTGAACACATGACTGGATAATGGATATCACATGACTGATATTGGTGTAACTGTAGCTCCTGGTTCTGGTGGATCCTGTGGATTTACAGTGGATCTGCCTTCCGCGATGTGAAACTTGAGGCTCGTGAGATTTTGTCTTTGAAACCACAAATAGTTCCTGTGAAGTCAGGCTGAGGCCGACTGATACTAAAGTGATTTCCTGTTCTGTCGCGTCGACTCTTCCTCCTCCCGCAGCCTCACATCCTTTATTAATGAGCCAACTTTAGATGGAGATACTCTTCTCTGCATTTTTTATTATCAGCTCTGGAATGAAAACAATGGCAGTTTCCCAAAAGTTTGAGCGAGATGAACAAAAGGCTGAACACAGGAGATCAAAGCTGCGGTAAATCTTCTTACAGGGTCACGGATGGATTCAGAGACAAAGTTTAACAGGCTTACGGTCCGTCACTCAAGAGCGCTGGATGGGCCGTCGCTCCTGCTTAATACCCAAAGGTCTGCTTTGTCTTTTTCCCTCCCCGCCTGATATCGCAGAGGCTGAAATATTAGAGCTTCACCATCTCTGTGGGCGACCAAGGGGAGCACTTTACGCTGACATGTCCACTACTATAAAAGCTGTTTCAGGGAATTGAGTAGCTTTTTCCTTAATTTCCATAATTTCCCTGCATAATGCAGTAAACATGTAGACTCCTGCAGACTCTTTAATGTTTCAGTACTCGCTGCTGTCTCCGTGCTCGTTACAAGCCTCCGTGCTTTGTCACGATGACTTTTTCATGCAGATACTGGAAAAGAAAGGTCCATCTTTTCCCCGGGACGCACAGAGATCTGATAACTTTGCATGGGTGGATGAAAAGGACGGAGGTCACGGTGGCCTGAGCGCTAATACGAACACAGGAAGCCATCATGTAATTTCAGTCCAGCTGTCGGGAGGAATGACATTAAAACAGCTGTTCTGTGTTATTGTGACAGTGACAGTGTGTCGCTGTTCCTCTGACTCACAGCCCGTATATAAACACGGATGACGCGTCGCTGCTTTACATTAGCGAGGCCCAAATGTGATGGAAATGGGCCGTGTCATCTCGCACCGGGGAAGTCGAGCTTATAAAAACCCACCGAGTTAGCTAACAAACTGCAGCCGCCTCCCTGACGCCCAGAACACAGCAGAGCGTCCACAGCAGAGCGTCCACGGCAGGGCGTCCACGGCAGGGCGTCCACGGCAGGGCGTCCACGGCAGGGCGTCCACGGCAGGGCGCCGCTCACATTATTAACTGAACTGTAAAAATACTGATGTGAAGAAATTATGTTCTGGAACATTTTAGGTGCAATTATATTTTTAGTGTCATGAGGCGTGTTTTTAAACCTTTCCCGACTCCTCTGAACTTCTTCCAGTTTGTTGCTTCAGCTCAGCTTCAGTGTCATTTGGAGTGACAGGATAAACTCTGCAGGAAGGAGTGGGTTTGATAGTGAGTGAAGATCGTGTTGGTGTCACCAAAAACCCCAGAAACTGTCAGGTGAGTGGATACACCAGGTACCCCCCAGCTTCAAACCGGCTCAGTGACTCCGTCCTCAAGAAGCCGGCCGGTCTCCAACCCCCCTCCCCTCAGGAAAGAGCCGTGTCCACCCATCCAACGATCTTCTCATCACTGCTGACTCTGGCCACATCCTCGTCCTTCAGCCTTTGACACGTTCCTCACAACGTCCTTCAACTTGCTCACCACCCACTATCCTGTTTGGGTTTTGCACCAGAGAGGCTCCAGAACTCAACAACATGCACTCCGCCCTGGGGTCACGTCACCCCCACCCTCACAGATCTCCACTGACTTGTGGTCAAGTCACCACATCACATATACGACCCTTCTGCTCGCTTGTAAATCTGTCGGCGACCCGGCCCTCAGCACCTGTCTGACCTGCTGCACCTGTACACACAGTCCTCTGCCATGGGTCTGCTTCCTGTCCCATCCACAGAGCCTTCGGTGGGACGGCCCCCACCCACTGGAACTCCACAACGCCTCATCGCAAACTCACCTCTTCCACAAAACCTTCGGACCTTGTTGTTCATAAATCGTAGTTGGCCCTC